CCGCAGGCCTCTTCTCGGGCCTTACCTCTTCCATCCTCCTCCAACCCGCTGATCTCCTCAAAACCCGTGTACAACAATCTCAAAACGCCTCCCTCCTTCCAACCCTCAAGGCCATCCTCTCCTCTCCGAACCCAATCCGCAATCTATGGCGTGGTACACTCCCTTCCGCCCTTCGCACGGGTTTCGGCTCAGCACTGTATTTTACGAGCCTCAACGCCCTTCGCACGGGTCTCGCTCAATCGAATGGCATTGCTCCCGTCACCAATAGCTCCTCCGCACTGCCCAAACTGTCCAACACCGCCAATCTAGCTACCGGGGCTGCCGCCCGGGTTGCTGCTGGCTTCGTCATGATGCCAGTGACCGTGCTAAAAGTTCGTTACGAATCAGACTACTACGCCTATCGGAGTCTCTTCAGCGCGGGGCGAGATATAGTCCGGACAGAGGGATTCCGGGGCCTGTTTTCCGGATTTGGAGCTACAGCGGCGCGTGATGCGCCGTATGCAGGACTATACGTTTTGTTTTACGAGCAGTTGAAACGGCGACTGGCGGGCTTATCAGGTTCTTCGTCTGATCAGCAGCCACTGAAGTCGTCATCAATCAATTTCGTCTCTGGTGGATTGGCGGCCGGGCTGGCCACTACCATCACAAACCCGTTCGATGCGGTCAAGACCCGGTTGCAGCTGATGCCGGGGCGGTATGGGAACATCATGCGGGCTGTGAGGTTGATGGTGCAAGAGGATGGAGTAAGAAGTCTATTTGGCGGGTTGGGGCTGCGGATTACGAGGAAAGCGCTTAGTTCTGCGCTTGCGTGGACGGTCTACGAGGAGTTGATTCTGAGGGCCGAAGTCCAGTGGGGATCAAAGGGAGAATAGGCTATCTGTAGATTATAGTAAGGTTCTCTGTTCTAGATTCCTTAGAAGGGAAGGGGTTAGTTAGGGCCGGAGTTTGTTATTGTTATGGGTATAAAAGGGCCTCGGATACGGACTGCATGGGTCGACGTTTGGTCATCATCATCATCATTGTATCATATATATAGCAACTGTTCAAATCCCAACTCATGGAACGAAATGAAATCAAAAACATCATGACTCGACAAGTCATTATGCCAACATCTTGTATAGGATAACTGTGAAAATGAACAAGAAGAGAACAAAATATTGACAGACGAGGCAAGAGAACACAAGAACCAAATCAGACTAATCAAATCATGGTATCACACTTCGTAGCGCGTCAAAAATCTGCGAGATCAAGTGAAGATCCAGGCACGTGAGCCGGGGTTCTTCTTGCGGACCAGGTACATTTTGTCCTTCTTTCGGTCGTTCACCTTCAGCTCGGTCAGGGTGCTCGAGTGCTGAGCAACAAGCTTGCCCTCACGCAGACGCCGCGAGTGAGCGAAGAGCTCCTCCTGGAAGTCCTCGGAGATCCACTGCTTGATGATGATGTAGTTGCCGTCGAGCTGTTCACAGTCAGTCATCGTCGACGGTACCTAGAGTGTTTAGGGTTCCAACTTACCTCGTCCCAGTCCCAGGGTAGACGGTAGGCAATAAGTGTGTCGGGGAGAAGATGTTTGCGGTGGACCTGCGCCAGTGAGTTAGATGAACAACAACTTTAATAAGGTTATAAGGGGCGGGGGATAATTGCATACCTTGATCCAGGTAGTCCGTTGGGGCTCAGGTTCCTTTTCCTTTTCCTTCTCCTTCTCCTTCTCCTTCTCCTTTTCGGGTTCCTTTGGCTTCTCAGGCTCCCCCTTGGGCTTTTCCGGTTCCTTAGGTTTCTCGGGTTCCTTCTCCTTCTTGATAATCTTCTCCAGCTGCTCTTCGTCGTAGCCGAACTCGAGTCGTAGTCTCTCCTTGAATTCAGCATCACGTCTCTTTCTTTCTTCCCGTTCAGCGATCATTCTCCGCTCCTCGTTGAGCTTCCACTCCTCGATAGCGGCCTGCTTCATCGCGGCTTCTTTGCGGGCGCGCTCTTGCTCAGCCAGGATCCGCCTGGCCTCTTCATCACGCAGCTCTTTCCTGATGCGTTCCTTCTCCTCCTCCTCTTCCATCTTGCGCTGGATCTCTTCCAGCTGCCGTTGACGCATCTTCTGGCTGAGCTCCTCCTGCTCCGCAGCCTTACGCTGGGCCTCTTCGAATTTGATGAGTTGGTAGCGATGCTCCGCCTCACGCTGCTCTTCTTCCATGCGCTGCTTCTTCTCGTACCGTTCCAGCCGTCGCAGCCGCTCACTGATCTCGTCCTCGTATAGATCCTCCTCCCTTAGCAGCCGGAGCTCATGGTGGTGATGGTGAGGAGGAGGTGAGCGGTGCTCATGCTCCGGCGCCGGCGGAGGCGGGGGAGGCTGCTGTGGCTGCAGCTGCTGTTGACGGTGCTGAGAGGTCTCACGATGACGAGCCAGTTCCCGCTCTAGACGGGCGATCTCCTGCTGATGGCGCAGGAGCTCCAGGTCTTGACGGGCATCATTCCTCTCGAGGAACCGCGTATCGAGCATCAGCTCATAGTCCCTCGTAGGTGGGAGCGGTGACGCCTCCCGGGAGATACTACTCGGGCGAGTGCGAGCTCGGCGATGATCCCGCAACCTGGTCTCATCCTCCGACTCGTAGGGATCGATGTAGTTCTGGTTTAGCTTGTGTTCCTGTTTCCGGTTCTTGGTGGCACTCTTATTCCGAGCGTCATTCTTGGCATCGCTTTTTGCATCTGTCTTGGCGTCGGCTTTGGCGTCATATTTGTTATGGACGTCGACGATGACGGCGACGGGCTGGTTGTTGTTGCGTTCGCGCTCGCGCTCACGATCGGGGCGACGACGGGCACCCGTGGAGGCGGAGCGTTGAGGCGCGTGGTGGTCATGGATCACGGGGCTGAGGTAGGTGTTACTATGGATGTGTTCGGGGCTCCAGCGGTGGCGGGAGATGGAGCGTCGACGAGTAGTGACTTTCCGGCGTGGAGTCGTCTCTACCATGGAGTAATCCGATTCGGAGAAGTCAGACTCCGAATCGGTGAGGAGGTGACGTCCTCTAGGATAGGAGGAATACATGGCGGTGATTTTCTTTTGGTTATGTATCTGCTCCGCCTATATCCCGCCTCCCTCTTCTTTGATTATGAGCAATTTGGTGTGTGCGTGGATAGTATAGTAGTAGAGGTCAGATGAATAGGCTGGTGGGGTGTGACGTCGATAAGTGGGCAGCAAATCAGCCGTGAGTGTGGCGGAGGCTGGCAACCCTGATCTCGAGCAGAAACAAGATGCTGATGCTGCTGAAATTTGAGACAATTCAACGATGAAAGTCAGAGTGAAAGTAAAGAAGTAGGTGAGAAATGGACAAAGAGGAAAAAGGAAGAGAAGAAAAGAGAAGAAGAAAAAGAAGTGGTCAAATACTAAGAGCGAAAACAAGAAAAAACCGGCCCCTCGTGCCTCGTAAACGCGGGCGCTTCGCTCAGCTGAAGTGGGGGATTGGCAAAGATTGGGCCGCCTTGGGGATCAGCTGCGGGCGGCGACAATTAAGAAATTCAGGTACTTCCCACTGGTGTCTTCGATCATAGGCAGAGAGTCCTCGAATTTACGCGAAGCTCGACCCCCCATCCCCCTTCATGCAGAAGCGCTGAAGCTACTACTATGGAGTCGAATTAAACATTCTGTTTATAGAACGATTGACATGGCGGTGGGCGGCTATTGAAATTGTAGTATGTATTGTGTAGGTAGGTAGTCTAGCTATGGGAAGTAGGATACTGGTCTGTCTCGTCCCAGCCATTAAGTAACTACTGTAACAGATGATAGTGGGTGGATGCTGATGGTATCTTCTAGTAGGAGTCCGTCCAAAAGACGGCATCTTCCATTGTGCGAGTGAAAGAGAGGAACAGAGAGAGGTTGGGCGTCTAAAGCGCCACCCACGCCAGTCATCAATCTCTCCACCATCCTGCATCGACCAACTTCAGGTTCCCCTGCTTTACTATCGATAGATACTTACCTTGTTTGTTATCTAATTAATTTCCACTCGATAAGGAGAATTCCGCTCACTAGTCTACTACTTACTCACCCAGGGAAATACCCACGGGTCTAACCGTTGGCGTACCCATGGAACCCTGACGTCCACAAGTCCTTTTAGTGGAGTTTATCTATCTAGGTTAGTTATCTCCTGACCCGTAAATTCTAAAGTAGACACCTGCTCAGCAGGCATCAAGGATGACCAGGCAGTAGTCAGTCATTCAGTCACTGACATTATTCTGAGTGAGTATTGGCACCTGACCTGAGATCAATGATTAGTTGGCACATTTTCGGAGATGGATGACTTCCGTTGTGTAATACCCTACATTATTGGGTACTTGGGTGTTAAGGGTCCGACTGGTCTAGTCTAGTCTAGTCTGGTCGATTCCTGTCTGTCTTTGGCCCCCACTGACAACTAATACGTACATCCACAGCACAGCCTTGTGGGCCGAGGCTGGATGGACAACACTCACCTTCAGGTATCTAGGTAGTAGTTCTGGTCGAGTCGGTATCTACCCACATAGCCCCAGGGCTGATTAGTTGTCTAAGTAGAGAGACCTTCCCCCTCTACTTATCTAACAACCCACAACTAAAGCACCTACGGAGTGGAAGTGATCGATCTATCCTTGCTCCTGTTTGAAATAGTAATGCGAGGTCTCGAATTATATCTACCATAATTTATCAGGACTTGCATATATTCATATGTATCAGTCAAAGTTCTTGTTATATTTACCAGATATTGCGGATAAATTAGTACGATCTGTTACAGTTTGTAGGCAGCAAAGTAAATCCTTGAAGCTCAGTAAGACTAAAATTTAAAAATCAGACAAATGACTTGATAAAAGATTGAGAAAGGAGAAGAAGAGCCATCTTTCCTGCCAACCCGCAGGTCTCTCATACATATCCTCTAAGAGCATTGAGTTAAATGTAACCTCCTTCAAAGTCACCCCAAAGCTTGTGCAAGTTGCTTATAATGAAACCTCCCCTCCAACCCTCCCCCCGACCTATGGGTGACACAGCACTTTTACATACTCTTGAGATTTTTCGCCAACGCCTCCTTCTTCTCATGCCTCTGAATATACCAGAAAAACACCGGATATGCCAGATCAAAGCCCAAATAAATGAAGCAGCACCAGAGCATGAAAGGCTCACCCAACCAGCTAAAAGCGTCCGGCCAGTAGTTGACACGAATGTAAAATTCCGGAACCATGACAAGAGAGCCCGTGAATCGGAAGAACCTAAGGACAGTAAAGTTTTAGCCCCTCCTATTCCACCCTCCCTGACATGACACTGGGTATTAGGCAAACGAACCATAAGTTAAGAGAGAAACCACGCGTAGACCCCCTCACTAAAAGCTGACAGACATATCCCACACTTAGGATAGCCTGACATACGATTGCGCCCTGAAAGCAAGCCCTCACCATGCCGAGCTCTTTGGTAAGAGAGATATGGCCTACAATTGCCAAGAGCGTTCCACCTATGTAAATCCAGGGCAGGTTGCGTTGTATCATAGGAGATCTGTCCCACTCTCGGGCGCCATATTTGATTGCTGCGTAGATCACGCCACAGTTGGATATGACTGCGGCTTGGAAGGAAAGAGTTATAAACCAGTGGTCCTGGGAGAACAAGAAGCCGAAAACGATTTCCCACGCTATGTTGAGACACTGGGAGATGAGTGGCATGGCAAAGGACTTGTCCATGTAGGATCGGTAGATCATCCCATAATACACGTACAGCCATATGAAATTGGTGTATATATTGCAGGCATAGAGTGTTGTGGCCCAGGACGCGAATTCCTGGGGAGCAGTGGAAAGATCAAAGGCATCCATTGCGCGAAGGCTGAATAGACAAGCGACACGGTAGGCTGAAGAGTGACCGAGAAGAATAGGGCGGTTATGTTTCCGGGACAGGTCTCACGGGCTTTATATCCACATCATAAGAAATATGGGATAAATTTAGAAGCAAAGACGAAGAATGAGAACCCAGCGAGCTGCACCATCGTCTGTGATCAAACACATGACAAACCCGATCCATGCGCAGAATTATACTTTCTAATTGCGCTTGATTGCAAGTAGTGGATTTCAAGACATTACTAGAGTTGCCAAACTTCCAGAATGCCGTGAGTTCCAGCGGACTGACATACTGACTGGTCCGATTTTAAAGTGTCATGCTTGAGTTTCTCCAGCCGTAGAATTGGATGCTCGCTTTCTTCATCAATAGGCCGTATGGACCGACACATCACAAGTTATAATAACGCTTGCTCTGCTGCTGCTTCTATGAACACCTGGAAGCCAGACATCCGGCTATAGTCGAGTTCACATTCGCCAGTTCTGGGTTCCGCGTTAGTCATATTGCAGCATACCGTGCTCTAAGCTCCAGGTGACCCTTGTATTCCCTTTCAGTACAGCATAGAGCTCAATTTCCTTTTGCTATAAGCTGAATCAGTTTGTCTATTCTGAAAACTGGTAGCAAATATTTATTATCTCGCTCTTGAAAGCTCTGTCCTATGCACCCTACCACCCGTTAATATCGAAATGGACAACACAGGAAGAAATAAGTAAAACGGAAGGAGAGAAGAAACAATACACTGAACATTATAGTCAACCAAACCGACCATACTTGTAGAAGCTAACAGGCTCACGTTCTACATTTTCAAGGCTTAAGTTTGCTTCGGAATTAGTGCGCGTCAAGATGAATTGTTTACTGGTTACAGAGCAGCCCAATGTACGCCACCACGGAGTTATTACTCCGAGAGTATCTTGCGTCCTGGTACCATCGGCTCTTCATAGCTGAATATTGTACCAGATTCCTATCATCTATGGCGGATCGGGCTTACAGCTCGGAGTAGCTGAGATGGAGCCGGTTATGGGCTGTTTTCTCATTAGGAAAGCACCGAGATGCATTTAGATATGAGGTTCTCTTTTCGCCCACAGTGAGCTTCCCATTGATAACTCAGCCATGTACCCCGATATGCATCTGCCTAAATGCTGTAAGCAGGACATCAATGTAGCAAAGTGCTCTTGCACTAAAGTGTCGCTAATCTCTGGATGGAGGTCAAATATTCGGCTTTTGGGCGGATGGGTACTAGCAAGAGGGCTCGAGCTAAACCAAGCGCTCAGTTTTGAACTGGAAAATTTGACCTGCATTCACCTTCCTGCAGACCAAAACCAACAAGCTCAAGATTATAGACATTCAGGTGTGATGTGTACTCAATCAAGCACCAGTGCATCCTCTCCGTTTTTCTCAATCAATCCAAGCTGCACGAGAGCTGATTCAGCGATACAACAAACGATACAAGTGCTTCCTCAATTACAAACCAACTCGCCTAGGACATCCTAAACTAAAAGAATGTTCCTTTGTACTAATTGAATTTTCTTACGGAGCTGTTGCATGCAATAATAACAGACTTATGAACAATGCACAATCCACTGGGGCTGTTTCGACTCCGCAACGGTCGCTCCGATAATGGAGATTTTTTGGATTAAGGAGAGAAACAAAAGTGGGAGTTGCAACAATTGCCAAATTCATTCTGATCCTAGCTAATGATCTTTTAGTAATTAGATGTCTATGACTCCTGTTCCCCTATGGAACCAGAAAGGCATATCATCTTAGTAAACCTTCCCAACTGTGACCGTCGCGCAGCTCGCCGTTGATGCAAACCATCCCTGACCCAGAAACCCAATGCTCAACGTCTAATCGGTCCAATCCTAAAGAGTGCTGTCAGAATATTGATCATCATGCTCACACCTTATAACAAAGGGGAGCAAGAGGAAAACTTAAGGGCAAAAGAAAAGCCCGAAGAGCAAGGAGAAGGCCAAAAATCGTTACTTACCGCCCAGCAAGCCGTGGGGTAACTATCTTGTCCACAGTGGATATTGGCGGTGCTCTGCAAATACGAGGTCAGTTTCCTTAGTTACTATATAGACTGGCACAATATACTTACGCCGAGGGCAGTCTGCACGCAATCCTCGGACGCCCAACAGTCACTAGCAGAATGGCACTTCAAGCAGAGTCAGTAACAGCTCACGATCTAGCTTTGCATCTATTAAGGTAGATGCAAACATGTAAGACATACCTCAATACCGGCGCCACAACCATGCCAATGATAAGCCCGCGACTCAATACTGTTAGAAACCGGTGCAGGGGAAGCCAGAGTTCTTGTACCGAGACTCAAAGTTGCAGCGAGGAGGAGGAGGAACTGCATTTTGAAGGTGATATTCTTGGTTGTCAAAATTTTTAGGAGTCGGCCTTTGGTACTGATAAATCTGATGACACTTCGAAGCCTGGAATCAAAGCCTCCACAAAGCCAGAGAGGAGGCTTTTATATGCCTGGCGCAGGATAAGGCGTCCAAAGCCCATGCATATCGTGCATACGACCTAGATGCTGACTTTACGAAGGCATAAGAAACCTGATGAATAAGCAGCTCTGATGACCTACATTTCACGAAGACAATGGATATGTCATGTTCTGAGAAGCAACATGATCGATGGTAGGTTATGCAAGATGCAAGGGAACCCCGGATGAGAAGGTATGCTGATTCTTTTCTCGTAATGCTGATTCTGGGCGGAAAGCCTTACATCTTCCCTTGCCATGTGTACGAGCGTCATCCCACGTATCAAATCCAAACCGCTCTACTATCCGTCTGAACTAACTGCTTCAGAAGATTATTCAATGCAAGACACAATTTGAGGTTACAAAGACCGCGTTAGAGGCGGCTACCACAATGATGGGGATCATTGTAGAATCAACTATAATTAGATTAACTTTGGCACGTTACACAGCGCCAACGTCACCGCGAGTGGATAGCTGGTTTTCAGATAGACTATCATGATGTCTCGTCAAATCGTCAGTACGGAAAGAAGAATTGGTGTAGCTGTCTCAGACCTACCGCATAATGCGAGAATATATCGGACAAATCAGCCAAGGGACCATGCCGTCATTCCAACGGCCTTGAGTCCAACGTCAGTTCCAGTACCATTCAGGTCGTAAAGTCAAGCACCAACTGAGACACATTACTCCATGTCGGGAAAGGTTCCAGCGCATCATGGAACACTTGCATGGGTACAGATCACCCAATTTGCAGATGTCATATCAATGCAAATAGACCCTGCACAGCTGGAATCTGGCGATACACGACCTTGCCCTGAGGCCCGGGTGTCCACCTGTACCACAACGGGAAGGAATAGCCGCATGGCGTGTGCGCCAACACGGTATTTCCTGCTTATGCTTTTCCGCTGCTGAGAGGGGTAGGATATAGATAGGAATCCGGCATGCAATCAGCACGGTCGAGTAACAATGATCGCTCGGAAGATTCGCACAGCAACGATGCAGGCCAACTCCGAGTTTCACTACACTTCCGCTTCATAGGTGCCTAGATCAGCCTTGGAAATGATCCCGCCCAGGGCTAGAATTTGCCACTGTGTATCCAGAGCGATAATTCTGGCTGAGTATCATGACTATGGCTATGCTGTGCTCCAAGTCCTGCCTGGGATCTTTATGTCTCATTATCACATCATCATATCATCCCATTGTACCCCATGTTGTTCATGAGTGGCTGTAGACCCTGAGAAAATGGCACGGAAGAAATAAGCAAGCTGCACAACGGGAAGCAAGAAACCATATAATCTCCGCGGGCGCAGTGCCTACAAGGGAAGGATTGCATGCGAGTGAGATAATGAGCTTGGGTGGTGAGCATCGCGCACCACTTCGATGACATGTTGCATTCATAATGTGGAGCGGACGGTCGTTACGCCCATCGTGCCCTATGAGAGATCATTAGCAAATCTGTCAGCCCACAACCTGCATGAGATGCGACCTTCCTGACACATAGATTCAGCTGCTCTCTAAGTAGTTCCGCTCCTAGATTATCTTTGTTTATTACTAATTCAGGTATCTCCCTAAGCTATTCATTGATTTGCACTGTACCCTATCTCTAACTTGATGATCCATTACTATTCGCTACTATATGAGTACACCGATTTTGTACTTTCATAACAGCTGATCTCTCGGCCCGGGTAGTCACATATAGAATGGTATAAGTGAAGGCATCTCCTACAGGTTGTAGATGCGTTATAGGAGAGTCAACAGTAGTAGACAGGCATTTCTTCCTTTTGTTATCCTTCAAGGCCAAGGCTCACAATTGTCATGCAATACCTAAGTCACGTATTTAGTCAGAACAAAATGTTATTTACCAAAATGACTATTTAGCTATATAGAAAGATGTCCGCAAAGGGCTTTTAGTATGATTGCTAAAGTCTTCATCTGGGGGTGCATTGCCGCCACCGAAAAGCTGAATTTCAGAGCAAACCCTAGGAATATGTATAAGTCTACAAAGTTTGCTTAGTAGCTTCAGCTTCTCAGCGTTAGGGAGTTGTGATCTATGTTTAACTATATTACAAGTATTTAATTGTAGGGTAGCCAATGTTGTAGCATCTATCAATCTAGTAGATAAAGGCAGCCCTATTTGGACTCCACGTATGGCCATACAGGCTAATCAGTTCTTTTCATTCGAGAATGGCTGGTGTAAGATCAGCCAATATAATGAAGTGTCCTCTAGAGAGCCTACCCAAGACTACTATCCCTCCAGCTACTAAGGCAACTACTTAGGCAGAAGCCCAGGTAGATCTCGTATATTCGAAACAGACAGATAGCTTCCTATTTGGATACAGGGGTAAAATAATAGTCCAAATATAGCTAGCTGCAGAGACTATATGGTCATACTTAAAGTCGAAATACGTACTAAGTACTAGCAACCGCCTGATATTCATGATCCAGTCATTACTTGAAGCGGTCCCCACTGCGGCTGGTAGCCTGATAGAGCTGAGATAG